TGGGAGTGCAGCATTCTGGAGCTTTATGGGTTTGAGTGTATAGCCTTCCTGAGGGGTTTCAGATCGAGCATGGCAGCGTCTCTGCTTTCATGTGCCATTTCCCCCCCGCTTTGGGCACCTAAAGGCCTGAGCCTCTTGGCGTTTAGCGTCGGCCACTCTGGGCATATGAGGCCGTGAGAGGCAGGTTATGTTTCTCAAGGAGGCAGGGTCTCCTTCATACACACCGAGAACCGGATTGTCAACCCTGCCAGCCGCAAAGAGAGACCAATCCGATCCACGACCATACACCATCTCACACCCCAGAGGCCCTTTTAAAAGAAGAAGCTCGGCCCAAACACCAGCTCTCTCTATAAAAAGGTCCCAGCATCGCACCGAGGCCGGCCCTCAGCCGCACGGCGCGGCACGTCATGGCCGTGGGGCACACGCAGATCCCGAGCCTGTGCTTGGGCTCTGAAGCGGTGGTCGAACTATCGGGAATTGCGGCATTTACGGGTTTACTCGGCGTCCTGATGAGCCATGGATTCTGAGTTTTGGCATGTTTTGTGTGTTTTGCTTGAGGTGCTGCTTTGGGATTCTAGTACCGTGGCCCTCTGGCGTCTGGGATCCGGAGCTTTGCGCAACGGTAGCTTGCAGCAACGAGCGAGTCTTCCGCATTCCCTCATTAGTTTGAAACCTGTTGCAATTGCGGTTAGATCTCGGCTTTCGTGATGCGGTCATACGTATACGAAGCTCCTGAATCATCGATGCTACGCAGAAGGTCGGGAATTCAAGTGGCTCGGCCAGGTTGATGTCGGCGAGGGGGGCTTACCCATAAATCCCACAAGCAGCAAAGGCTAAGCGCCTCTGAACAACCTGATCCCTACGTCTGAAGCCCCAAGCCAGCCTGAACCACTACAGACTCCGAGATCCCGAATCCCATATAAGCCTTCACAAGGACCCTTCAGCCACACGCCTAAGCCCCATGAACCCGAAAAAGCATAAATCCCTGTTCCGCGCCTTGGATCCCCAAGCCACCGAACCTGTCCTAAACTCCCGAGCTTGCACTTCCGCTTGCTTTTGGAGCTTTTGGAAGGGTCGTTCACCGGAGCTTGGCAGCTCTAGATTTGACGAGGTTCCTAAACCCCTACGCAACAACAGTTTTGTTCATATCCCAGCAAACCCAATGCAATGCCCCGAACAACAGGGCTTGTGTGTTTCGACTCCCTGGACCAGGCTCCTCTAACAGCTCGGCTGTTTTGGTGTTCAGCCCTCCACCCACATCTCCAAACAAGTGCACGTAGGTGTCCCTTTCCGGGCAGGGGCCTGTTCCCTATAAAACCCTAAACCCGGGGGGACGGTCTGAGGGTTTTTCCAGCTTTTGTTTGGCTCAGGCCGCTTCTCCGGGACATCCTGGAGAGAGCCATGGGTCTCGCGGAGGACTTCATCGTGCGACTCAGCTTTCCTCAGGAAACCCTGAACCCTGCTACTCTGGGAGGTTTAGGGTTTAGGGTTTATAGGGGTTTAGGGTTTAGGAACCCTGCTACTCTAGAAGGCTTGATGCCCTGATGCCCTAGAAGCCCTTAAGCCCTATAATACATGGCAGGATGCCCCAAGGTTTGAGCCCCAATAAACTTTTACGCCCCAAACAGAAACCCTAAGCCCTAATCCCTATATGCCCCTAAACCCCCTACAAACCCCAAACCGACACCCAAAGCCCCAAACCCCGTAGAGGCCCTTAAACGAAACCCGAAGCCTTGACACCCTAGAAACCCCGATATGAACCCTATAAACCTTACCTCAACCCTAAAGAAGCCCCTATGAACCCTATAAGCCCTACAAAAACCCCATAACCCCAAACGCCCTATAAACAAAAGCCCCCTATCCTCTAGGAACACCCCCCCAAAAAAAAAGAAAGTAAGAAGTTTTTTTAAAAAAAGAAGAGAAGCGCGCCAAAAACAAAAAGGCTCACCATCGCCGACCTCGGGCTCGTGGCGGACTTCTACGCTCAGGCGCGCGCGCTGGTTTTTAGGGCTACGAGGTTTAGGAGAGATTTCTGAGACCTGTTTTTTGTTTTTTTGGGGCTTATACATGTTTGTAGGGTTTTTAGGGCTTATAGGGTTTAGGGCTTTATGCAGGTTTATAGGGTTTATATATAGGGCTTGCAGGGTCTTTAGAGTAGGGGTGCTGAAAGGGATGAGCTTGGGCAGTGAGGTGCAAGCTCTCCTCGACGAGGTCGCGCCCGCACAGTCCCTGAGCATCCTCCGTGTCGGCATCGGCCGCTTGGCATCAAAGGGCTTAGGAAGAAGATGGAAGAAGGGCCCAAAACCCTCAACTCCTAAACCCTATAAGCCCTTAGGTATAGGGTCTTGATACGGTTCAGGGTTTTTGGGCCGCGGGTTTAGGGTTCGGTGGGGTCCACACATGGGTCCTACTGAGACGCCAACAAGGGAGCCCCATCTTCGACGGGACTCGTGGCCAGCAATCGTCGACGTGAATCATTTCTTCTTTGCACAAGCTGTTGACAGTGAAGCCCTGAGTAAACCCTAAAGGGTTTAGGGTTTATACTGTAATTAGGGTTTAGGGAGCCTATCAACCCTATATTATGTTCAATTTATGGATCGTTTTCTGACTTCTGCGCCGTGCAGCCCTCGGCATGTGGCCGAGGAAACTGGAGCCGCCACGTCCACCAGCGTCACTGGAACAAGGGTGGAAGGGTGATTTGGCAGAAGGTGGTTTCACGTTTGGGGCTTTAGGGTCGTTATCATTTGGGATTGTGGTATGGTGTACTGTGTGCCCGGCACTGCAGGGCATCCTGCAACAAGTAAGAAATTTGCGATGACGCAAAAAAAGCACAGCCTCAGCCGTACACATTCCTGAGATGCTAGATGCCGTCTTGGGGTTGGCAGGATATTCAAGCTCTCTAAAAGCAGGTGAGGCTTCAGCATGCATCTTCTTCTACGCAAGACAAGCCAAGCCCAAACACACGAGCCCCACGATCCTGATCCCGAGGTGTACCTGAAGCCATTCTTTGACTTGGCCTCCTGGCGAAAAAGCTCATGGTCTCCGAACTTGGTCTCCGAACTTCAGAGAGACTGAACGTGCATTCGTCACAAGGATTGCAGAACCCCAGATGCTCACCTAGAGCCCTAACCGGCCCTATAAACCCTAAACTCTACAGACCCTGATGGAGTTGCTTGGCAGCCTGGATTTATGTGGCCACAGGATCTCGGAGTCAGGGATTCGGCGCACAAGCGGGCGGTGCTATAGAGGCAAGAGGGTTCAGGGTTCAGCACTTCGCCCACCTTATAATCCCTGTGAGAAATTTAGGCGAATTGAATGCAGAAGCACTGAACCATAAATCCCAAGAGCCATGCGGTAATTTCGTCATCAATATGAGTGACAGCATGGATTTTCGGATTCCTCGCTCTTCTTTCGGCTAAGCCTTGGGCTATAGGCTCCTTTTTTTGGCACAGACGCCCACGTAAGAGCCCGAGACTCTTTCCCTTGGATTTTGTAGTCACCTTACCAGGATCGTAGCTCTTGTTCAGGTATCTTCTTGATCAGCCGGAATACTTGCTAGTCTCACGTTCCGTCAGAAACCCGAATCTAGCTATTCAAGCTCCTCATGTTGTTCGCGCCCGCCCGTGCTCAAAGAAGCGAGGAAACTCGACCAGCCGGCCGTAAATCCGAAGTAGATACCTTCTGAAGTCGGCTTGATCCGGGATCCTCGGGTTTAAGGATCCCGTCATGTAGCGCCCTTCACCAGCACGGCTGGTGCTGCTTTAGTCCGAATGCTTACTTGAGGAGCCTGCAGCTCAAAGAGCTGAATATGCGGAATTGAACATCCCACCGAACATGCGCCGAAAACCCTCAGCGCGGATACATACCCGGAGGCTCTAGATTGAAGTGAGCCCCAGAGACCTAACCCGAAATCCCATCCCCCTAAAGCCTAAAGCCTAAAGCCTAAACCGAAATCCCATCCCAGGTTCGACAGTTTCCGCAGATCCATCCCGGCAGCGACTGCTTCGTCTTCCCGCGCGCCGCACTGCCGCGGCCACTGGGACGACTCTCACAAACCAGGGTCACCGGAAAGCCATTCTATAAATATGATATGAGATAAACATAAGATAGTCAAGCCTTCGAAGACGCGAAAGATCGACTCCCGTAGCCCCAAAATTCAAAACTTCAAAAATGGAAGGCCCTAAGCCCTTCTGGTCCATGCTAAGCCCTGCAGCGAAAGTCCTCTAAGTGAAGGATGCTCCCCATGGTGGGCTACGTCTTCTACGGCGTTCCGCCTTTCGGGAAGTGCATGCTGGCAGCGTGGCACGTTGGAGTTCTGGGTTCAATTTGTTCGGGTTTTCCAGGACTTTCATAAACATTCAAAGGGTATATAGGGCTGTGACTATAGTCCTCTAAACGGGACAACTCTGCTTCAGTTTGGGGGGTTGGTGACTTCTGGCGCACCTTCGCAAGAGGTGTTTGCGGGAATTTTACTCCAAAGGGCCGTTCCCTAAGCAGGGAAAAGAATCCCTAAGCCTCAACCACGGAGATCCATCCTGAAACGTGAAAACTAAATCAGGGCCAAAAACAAATGAACGGGAATCTGTTCAAAACTACTTCCTTACTGAATGGCTTGTCTGATCTTACTAAAGCCTACTCTAAGCCGCGAGCCCTCAACCTCAAATCCTAAGATGGCAATGGGAGCAGCCACTGGTGGTGCGGTGATGGTCACTTGGCTTGGGGCAACCGACATCTTGCACTTGTGATGGCCTGTGAATGTAGGTCTGGGGTTCTGGGTTTCGGGCACAGGAGATCGAAAGTTTGGACATTTCAGAGCGTGCCGTCTTGCTCTTCTCCTTTCAAAACTTGGTGCGTTTTCTCCATGCGTGGGTTGGGGTCGTAAAGGTGTTGTGCAAACCGGTACCCTTTCTCGCCTCTCTCCTGCAACTGAGCGATGAACATGATTGTAGATTTGGAGTTTTAGATTTCCCCATGGGTCCAATTTCCCTCTGAGCATCAAGGAAGTTGCAAAGCAACAGCTCACCTTCCACCTCAACGCTGCTGAAAGGGATCGCAAGCCGATGCCAACCCTGCATTTGGTGCTCTCTTGGGGTTTTCAGCAGTAGTGCCTCTAGGTGTCTGCAGCAGGAGGCTGAGAGATGCCGCGGGCGTTGAGATGTTTTTCTGGTGCCCGACCTGTTGCGGAGGGAAGTTTGCAACGTTTTTTCCGCACAGCCTGCATTCACAACGCGATGTTACCGAGTGCTTTTGATGGGAGTGCTTTGTTCCTGGACAGCTGCCGCACCAACGAGACTGCGAAACAAGTGAATGCGCCAGACCAGCTCCACCTGGCGACTTACTCCCGAACGAGTTTTCACTCTGCCATACTCAGACTGGCTTTGCCAGCGCCGCTTCAGCAAGGCCGTAACCAAGCTCTCACACGCACCTGCAATGCGCACCCACGCAAAGGCACGCTGCAAGGCGAAGACCACCAGCCTGTCCCTGAACAAATCCCAGATCCGCCTAAAGAAACCGTATAAACGCAAAGAAGAAGCTGCTGGCCCCGCCCAGGAACGGCCAGTTGCACTTCCACTGGCAGGCGAGGGGCAGGTACGGGAGTTTCAGGATTCAATGAATTCAGCGTGTTCCCGGTTTAGGGCTTAAGTTTACGAAACGCAGGGTTTCGGGTTTTTTGGCAAGAAAAATACCGTCGGGTTTGAGCCTGCACGTCTTCCTTTGCAATTGTTGTGGTGAGGACTCTGTGTGCTTTCAGCTCAGAGGCTTTGAGCCTTTGAGCTTCGTGTCAGGGCCCTGGGACTACGGGGCGACCCTGGGCACTGGAAAACAACCATAGATAGGACAGACTGACTGGTGTGGAGTTTATAGTCCATATAACATATCATATAGGGTTTGGAAGGCGGCTTGACTTGGGCTTTCGACCGAAGCATGTTCTGGCCTTTGAATAAGGTCTTGGGATGTTTCGGGGTCCCGGGGTCTCGGGGCTATCGATCAGGCGGGGCATGCGGATGCAGGCTTCAGGAAATTCAGAGTCAAAGCTAGAATCCGGCCAGCTGGTTTGGTGTCTGCAAATTCTGCCGGCGAAGCAAGCCCCGACATCTGGCAACCTGGAAACCCTGAAATCCGAAGCAGTGAAGAAGCCCGACAGCCTAGAGCCTGAAGCCACAACTTCACTTCCCTCGAAGCCTTCAACCTGAACCTAAGGCCCTAAAACACAAACTCCACTGTAGATTCAACATCTGAAACCCTTACAACCCCCGTAGAGCTCCAAAACCCCAAGCCTCGAAGCTTTGAAGGAGGAGACCTCGATGAAGAAGGAGCTGCACTCCTTTAACAAGTACGTTGGCTTTGCCATGGCGAGCTCTGCCCTTGAGATTTGTTGTTTAGGGTAGAGGGCTGAGGGCGTCTAAGGCTCCAACAAGGCTTCTGTAAGTGAGTCCAGGAAGGTACTTGCAGTACAGGCTTCTTCTTCTTCTTCAGGGTTGTTCAGGCCTTAGAGGGGTTGGGCTTGCGGGTTAGGGCTTCGGGGCTTGAGGATTTACCGAATGTGAGGGTTTCGGGGCCTCAGAGGGTTTGGGATTTCACCCGTTTCGGACACCTTGGCCGCGCAGTCTGCGTATCTGGATTCCCGGGACTGCACCCTCAAAACATCTCAAAACTAAACCCAGAAAGTCTCAGAACTCTGCATGGTGCAGAGCAATTGGAGTCTTCAAAGTTCAGGGCTGGCAACTGTAGCTAAACTACGACACGCACAAGCCCCAAACTCTCGAATCCAAGGCCGGAGCAGCAAAGCCGTCAACCTGAACCTGAAGACCCTTGCAAGGAAAGGGACCCAACAAAACGCCAGCAGCTAGACTCAGCTAGACGTCCAACTTCCTGTTCGCCCCAAGAACTGCACCCTAAACCCTGGCCGACGACCCGCTCTGAGGAGCCGGGTCTGGGATCAGGGCGAGCTGGTTCACCGCCTCTGGCAGAACTTTCAGGCATCTTCGGCTTTCCGCTTCTTTGAGCCCCGGCAACCGTTGCCGCACACGTTTCAAGCCACGTTGTTTGCTTCGTTGCCTCTGTTTGCATGTCGATAGCTGGCCGCATGCCTTGTAGGGTTGTACGGGTTTATCCGTTTTTGTCGCGAAAGTCTGGTTGAAAGATTGTGGTGTCTGGCGTAGGTGGGTCCCTGAGGTGGATGTTTTCATTTCAGAACAGGAGCTTTTGCTTTGCATGGTTCTTCTACATCTTCTGTCTGGCTCGCTGGCTTGCAGGATGTGGCTCATCACAGCATGGGCTCCGATCAAGATCTTGATTGGGCTTTCGGAGAGGGCCGAAGTCAAATTGGCTGCTTCCACGTGGAGTCCCAAGCACCCGATCAAATATGATCCAAACACTCGAAGGCCTCATGTGCATGATCCCTCTGGATGATGCCGGGTAACATGCACGTACAGCGCCGGAAAGGGAGCTCTTGAACCCTATAGCCCTCGATGAGCTGAGCTCTTCATCTACGTGGGCTTATAAGCTCTAAACCCAGGAACCTCCTTAAAGCTTATAAACCCTGCACCCTAAACCCTAAAGGTTTTAGGGCCCCTGTTTCAGGTCCCCAGCGGGGTCAAGCTCGAAGGAGGAGGCTTCTCCCTTAGAGATCTTAGAGCCTGGGAGTCGGGCTTAGGAACTTGGGGGTTGGGGGTTTAGGGTTTTTAGGGTTTCGGGTTTAGGGTTGGGGTTTTGGGTTTTTTCTTACAGGGTTAGTTACGGGCATGAAGGGTTGGGCAGAGTTCATGGTTCCTGTTCATTTTGTTCAACTGCTACAGATGAGAATCTATGTGAGTTGGGTCAGACCAACCGCTGAGAAAGGCAGAACCTCGCACTCTGGAGGATGGGTCGAGTTTTGGAGTTTGGGATGGGCCCTTTCAAATCAACCCTCAAGAGGGTTGAGGCGAGAGGGCCACGCTGACCCTGTCAACAGCTAAGGCAAGCCGTCAAGCTATAATTGGCCAGATTCACGAAGCCTCGAAGAAGAAAAGTCTTCCTTAGAGTCTTAGAGAGAAGCTCTCAGCACTAGTATGGTCTCCTGCTGTGGGCGACGTGCTATACACCAGCCGCGCCTTTGCGTAGATGCCTGTTCCAGAGAACTCAAAGTCAAAGTAATGCTCGGCAGTCTCAGGTCACTTCGTCGACTTGGAGCAATGCTTCAGGGAAGTCGGCGTCATTAGCAGCCCGGCCCAGAATCCCAAAATGTCTGGGACTGCTGCAGTTGCACATGAAAGGTTTGCCCTAAAAACCTGACCCCCAAAAGTTTGCTTCCCACTCGAATTGAATAGAGTAGCAGGGAGCCCGGGATCCCCTAGAAATCCAGAAGCGGGTTTTGTCGCCTTTGCCCAGGCCTTCTTGGGGAAACCTAAGGGCTTCGTTCAGGGCACAGAAGCCCCGAACCTCGACTCCGAAACCTGCGCCTGAGGCTTTAGGGTTTAGGGTTTCCCAAACCCCAAAGGCCCCGTCCCAGATCTCTCCGAGCGAGACGTGGAGCGCTAACCTGTTCTTTAGGGTGTTAGGGTTTATAGGGCTTAGGGTTTAGGGTGTAGGGTTTTAGGGCTTAGGGGTTAGGGTTGGTGGCCACGCCCAGGAAGATCTAATCAGCTGGGATCAAGTAAACCCGAATCGACGGGCGTGGGGGGGGGTATGCCGGGGGGCTTCTAGAGTGGGCGAAGCTGGTCCGCCCGGGATCCAAGCAGAGTTACTGCCAAGGTAAGCATTTCAATAGGATCTTACTTACGGCCTCAGGCTTCGGGTTTAGGGTGTAATTACTCATGTCACTACAGTAGTAAGTAATCTTATACTTTAGGGTTCGGGGGCGCAGTTTGAGAAGGACTCCCCAAAGAGCCAAAGACGACTCGAAGACCCCGGAAGCTTCTGCCTCTCAGCTGGCCTCGTGTTGGTGATCAGCCGGAAGAGCGCGGGAGTGCTCCCTTACGTCCATGGCTCAGATCCGGGCTGACCATGGAGAATGCTTAATTTTTTGGGGGTTATAACCAAGGAGGAGGCTACTATACCATAATTTGCTGCATAATTTTTGGGGTAGCCATGCAATGAGGAGGCTGCTATACCATAATTCTGAGATTCCTGCTACAGCTACGACGATGACCACCAGGAGCATGACGATGCCAACACCACTTCCTGACTCGCCACAGCCAGTGTCCATCCTCATCACGGCCATATGTAGCAAGAGCAGCAACAACATCAGCAGCAAGTATCATCGTGGAAGCTGGCAATACTTATTCTGCTGGGCCCGTAGATGTGCAGTATGAGATATGAATCATGTTATGCTGCTGTTGCTAAGAGGCTGCTGCGCTTGTGCGCGGCTGTGGCAGTTGATTGGTGAGTCACGGGTCGGCGGTCGCCATTTTAAGCATCTTTCGCGGCAGAAGGATGTTAGACAGCATCGCCCACTTACTTGTTCTGCATCGTTGAATGTTTCGGGCAGATTTCCAAGGAACAATTTTGCTAGAGCTTGCTGAAGTATTCCGAGCCCCCATGTGATCGACAAGTCTATCCTGCAGGTTGTTGTTCCGAAAAGGGTAAGCTCACTGCTGCAATGCATCCGAGACGAGATTCCAGTAAGACTACTTCGAAACCGACATCTACCGGATGGCCGAGGAGGCTCAACATAGGACTTCGTAATGGCACCTGCCCAATAGTTCTCGATGCGAGCAGATCCCTAAACCCCCACACCTCATCAAGCAGTACTCCCCATGCAAGATGTGGATTACGTGCCCGGTCTCGACGTGCAACAAGGCTCCAGCACTAACAGCCGAAGAACGTAAGCCCGACGCCGGCAGTGTGAAAGCTGAAAAACTCTGAAGCCCCAAAAACTGATAACTTATAAGCCCTACACGCCACTGTAAAGCACCCGCCACAAAAACCTAGAGCCCTCTACACAGAGAGAGCCCTGCATTCCCAGGTTCTCGATGTGGATTTGGTCCAGATGAAAAATGCCAGCAGCGGTCGAATTCGAAGCCGGCAGCGGGTCTGGGCCTCCTGGGCCCAAAGGAGAAAGGGTTGATAAAGTTTTTAGGGGTTTTGTATTTGAGTTATTTGGGTTGAGGGTTTTAGGGTTTCAGGGCTTAGGCCCTTTGCCTTTAGGGTTTAGGGCTTTTTGGGTGTAGGGCCTTTTAGGGTTGAGGGTTTAGGGCTTATCGGGTTGAGGGTTGAGGGTTTAGGGGTAAAGGCAGCTAAAAGGGAACCCTCAACGGCATCTGGGGTATAGGGTTCATAGGTTTTACCTTCGGGAACCCTATAGACCTTTACCCTCCGGCGCCCAAATGAAGGGTTCAAATCCGGGATGTTAAAGGCCCGATGGGGGTCCTCTTGCTGTTTAGTTAGTTTAGTTACTGATGGATATTCCAAACTTTTGTCGGGTCTAGGTTTTTAAATTTTGGCATTCCTTGGGAGGGCCCAAGCTAGGCCGCATAAGCCCTGAAGCGCTGGTCTGCTTTGGGATGTCAAGGGTGCCCTCTGAGGGCCCCTGTGTTACGTGGGGACGATCGCAAAGGCCCACTCCTCAATGGCACCTGAAAGAGAGCCCCGGATTGAGCAACCTTGCATGTAGTTTAGGACAATACTGCTTTTACACCGCACAATGTGACAATCGATAAAGGCTATGTGGCGGCCTATAGGCGAAGATTGGCTTTGTGGAAGAACGTCGGACAGGTTTCGACTCGATCTCACTTCACTGTCTGTGTCACTCTTCGCATAGCAGTTGTTCCGTCTCTGTCTCTCACAAGGTTTCGGATTCAAGTCTGGCTTATTGTCTTCTATAGAGCTCTCTTGGCTTTCTCACTTCCAAGTCCCTTCCTCGATCCTGAGCTCCTCACACCTCCCTTCAATCAGATTCAAAGCCGGGCCCTGAACCATAAGCCCCTAAGTCTCAAATCAGATCACAGCCTCAGACCACTGCGCCATAAAACCCAAGCTTCCTTCATCAACCCTATAGGCCCAGACTTCGACTTCAGCCCCTGGAACCCCTATTAATAGGAGCCCTTCTGTATCAGATTTCCACCTATCTGAATCCTAAACCCCTAAACCCTCAGCCCCTAAACCCCTAACCCCCTAAACTATCTCAGGGCCTCCCTCCAGCGCTGGAGATGGGAGGCTTCGGGCCCAATGTGGTGGTGGCCCGGCTCCAGATGCCCTACGAGGCCGGGCAGCGGCATTGCCTCTAAGCCCCGAAACATCAAGTTAGGGTTTAGGGGTTATAAGGTTTAGAGGTTAGAGGGTTTAGGGGTTTTAGGGCTCTACGAGGCCGGGCAGCGAAGGGGCCTCGAAGCCCGGAGCCCCGAAACGTCAAGTTCGGGTTTACAGTAGGGGTTCTGTAGGGCTTAGGGGTTCTATAGGGTTTAGGGGTTCTATAGGGTTTAGGGGCTATAGGGTTTAGGGGTTCTGTAGGGTTTAGGGGTTCTATAGGGTTTAGGGGTTCTATAGGGTTTAGGGGTTCTATAGGGTTTAGGGGCTATAGGGTGTAGGGGTTCTGTAGGGTTCAGGGGTCATGGGATTTAGGGGTCATTGGGTTCATTGGGTTTAAGGTTTAGGTTCCGGTCTTCATCCACCCCTATAAGCTTCTTGAATGGCCGAATCCGGCTCCAGGCGGGCGACTGCCTCGGCTGGGCTTGGCGCTACGTGCCTCGTCAGAAGAACTTCAAGCCGCAGGGGCAGTCATAAAGCCTGCATCGGGGGTTTAGGGGTTCTGTAGGGTTTAGGGGTTATAGGATTTAGGGGTTCTATAGGGTTTAGGGTTTAGGGTTTCATGAATCTAGACGAATTGAGTCTCCTGATCCTTCGAGCAGAAGCCCACAAAGACCGGTTCTCTGCGTCGACGGGGGCTCCTGGGCTCTGTCTTGCCTATGAGGCCTTCTTTCAGGGCCTTCCTTCGGACGTCGGATGCCCGACACCAGAAGTTAAGCTACGGTATGAGGGCTTCGGGTGCAGGGCGGCTGATGGTTTGGTTTTGTTTTGAGGGGTAGCTGCACCTGTTCTTGTGGTCTTTTGTGCACTTACATACGCATGTATGCATGAAGGTGGGCAGGCAGGCAGGCAGGCAGGCAGGCAGGCAGGCAGGTAGGCACAAATACGCATATGCATGCATGGACTCATGGATGGATTCATGGATGGATTCATGGATGGATGGACGGGTTGATGAACAGACGGACGGACGGACGGATGGATGGATGGATGGACGGACGGAGGCACGACGCATGTATTGTGCATGTGTGTGTGGCCCATAGTACATAATAAGTAGAATAGAACTTAGATTATATTTATTTTTTACCATTATTATTATATATACACAATATACTTTTTGTTTATACATATAGTTGTATATCCATATGTATATATATACACACATACACATACACATATGTGTATGCATGCGCGCCCACTTCCGTAACACTAGCAAACATGCATGCACGTCTTTATGGACTCATTCACGTCAGATTGTAGGTGCGTCAGCATTGCCAGTCTTCATACAATGGATCCCAAGTCCTCTCAGGATGTGACCGGCCTGACTTTGGGCAGCGAGGAGGCCCAAGGACGGTGGTGTCGGGTTTTCTGAGAGTTTACGGTTTGAGATTTTTTTTTTTCGTTGAGGCTTTCGCTGGAAGTATATGGAGGTATCACAGGGTGCCGCAGGTACATTTCCATCATCATGAGCATGTCGCGATCAGAACCCGCCTTTGCTGCTTTCGCATAGAGTGGAAGCAGCCATGATGTCTGGAAGCGGCCATGTCTGAAAAAACACTGCGCCCCTAGATTGAGCTCGGGTCTCTGAAGGTTCACGCCCGCATGGGCCGAGCTACACGTCGCAAGCAGTTTTTCAGATTGCTCTTTACGCAGGGCTTGTCACTGTGCGGCTCGAGCTCTGTGTGGCTACGAAGAGTACACAAACGAAACTACATATATCAACGACGAGCAGCTTCCACTCTAGCTCCCTGCAACTACGTACGAGCATATATGTACGTAAGAGTTCACGGTTGCAACACAAAACGAAATAACTTCTGTATTCACATGGCGATTGACACTATGGTGCAAGCAATGATGAAGCTTCCTCGTTCACTGTGTGCAGGAGGACCTGCCCCAACGCTGTACCTGCCGGTGAGTCGTGAATATGGAGTCACCTGGACCGAAAGCTTTCATCCACAGTATTTCTGATGCACTAAATCCTGGACCTTGGCACTTTGCAACGATGATGCTGATGATGTTTCTGTTGTTGTGGTTGTTGGTCGTGGTTGTGGTCGTGGTTGTGGTGGTTGCGGTTGCGGTTGCGGTTGCGGTTGCGGTTGCGGTTGCGGTTGCGGTTGCGGTTGCGGTTGCGGTTGCGGTTGCGGTTGCGGTTGCGGTTGCGGTTGCGTTGTGGTTGTTGTGGTGGTTGTGGTGGTTGTTGATGGCTATGGTGCTCATGGTGACAGTCACGATGGAGGCGGTGGTGATGGTGGTGGCTATGCGATCGCCGAACCTGCACATGCAATCTCAATTGTCAGAGGACCCCTTCATCCTGTCAGCGTCACGAGATTGTTTTTTTGTTTTGCGGATGTCTTCGCGCATGTTCAGGGTTGGGTGGTCAACTCTGGACGGAAGAGCAGCACAGGTCACCAATACGCTGACCTATCCGTTGAGCCTGCGGCACCGACTGGCCGTTCGGGCGATCGCGCAAGCCGGCATCCCGCGCGTGGCCTTTGAGAGACGGAAAATGGCAGTGGCTCAAGGCTATTCGGCGCATTTGGAATTTGATGCCATGCTTTCCGCGTTTGAGTTGATCAGTCTGATCTGAGATCTAGTCATCTCCCACAACCAAAGCTCTTGAGCCCTCGGGCGCTGCGTGCCTTCAACTATCCTATCCAAGACGGCGAGTTGAGCAGTAGCACTGCATGGAGCCAGGGTGAGCCAGACCACTCAGTTGTTCACCGCACCTGTGGCTCAAGCGATCGAAGATGTGATGTGCTGAGCCCCGGACTGGCCACCAGTGTGGCGATTCAGCATGTCTGGGGTTGGGCTTGGGTCCAGGGGGAGGGGATCGGATTGGTTCAGAATCAAATGCTTGTGGACAGGGAGTCCATCGTGTTCCCCTACTTGCTCAGGGATGAACCCTATTACAATGCAGCTGTTGGTCATGATCGCAGATCTTCTCGGGGGCGTAACGTGCTAATTGTTCTGCATCACGGATCACGGACATCGGGCTAGTGCCAATCCCGCCTCTTCAGACCTTGTACCGTACCCTCCTTTCTGAAGCTGGTGGTTGTGTTCGCTGCATCATTCGACTAATTAGGCAAGCTTGAGGGAAGCTGCATGCGGGGCAGAATTTACTTCGGCAACGACATTACAAAAGGGAGGATCCGCCAGGAGGTGCACTCCGCTGTTCATCGCAAGTACAGCATTCATCATCTTTGAATCGGTAGGGGGCCGAAGGATGCGGACGGCAGTCTCTCACCCAAACTTTAGGTAAGCGTTGAGCATGGAATGGTCTCACAACAACATGGTATTACCTTCAAGCTGGCTGGGAAGAGCTGGTAGATCTGGTGGAGCAGAAGGCCCAGCGCGTGGTCTTCGTGGTGAGTGCGCACATTTTTGGGGAACTTGCCAGGGTGGCGAGGAGTTGAAGGCGTCCTGCGGCCTATGGTCTGAGAATTTCCCTGATCAGCTTCTGTGGGTCGTTGGGTTTGGGACCTGCAAGGTTGAAGGTCTGATGGCTTTGTCGAGAGATTTTTAAAGGTTCCGGCCGGGCCGGAACTTAGGCCGTTTTCCTGCCGTTTTAGAGCTTGCGGCTGCTCGGTTGGGTGGCGAAGATCGCTACCATGTGCCAGGTGCCTTTGACCGCGGATCGGGAGACCCGCCTACGCCCGGAAAATGCCCAGGAGCGGTCTGAGCCCGAAAGACAGCGCCACCTTGTGCAAGCCGACAAATACGTTCATGTTGAGATATAGCATCCTCGTCGATGTAGCACTTTGGTGGCCCAAGCCAGACACCGCCATGGCGATGTGAAATGGGAGCCGGCGGCTCTGTGGGTGGTAAGTGCGTGGGATGCCAGGGCACTGAAGATCTCCATGTCTTCGAGACACATGCAGGTAGGCTGCACACTGCCTGCAGCCACGCCGCGTGTGGCCCGTGCCTTCGGCAGCTGGTGCTGAGCCAGCTTCCGAAGAGCCGCGAGCGTTGGCAGCTCGAGATCCTTTGCCCCGAGTCTGGTTGCCGGAAGCGAATCCCTCAGCGCTTAGTCCTCACAGTCAAAGAGGCCGATGACCTTGCGAAGGCCATCGACACGGACGGCCTTTGGCCCAGCCTCGGAGACGAGGTTTCGCAGCGCTGCCCCCTTTGTGGGAAGGCGGCGCCGGTGCACGTAAACCGGGCTTGTGGCCATGCAGCCTGCGAGAGCTGCTGGCTCGACGGCCTCGAGGAGAAACTCCGCTGGTGCCGCGAGAATGCCGCCATGGACATCCCCTGTCCGCACCCGGGCTGCCATGAGGGCTGCTTCGATGTGCTGCGCCACTTCGAGAGCCCGTTCCTGGAGGAGCTCGAGCTCTACGTCCGGGAGGCCAAAGTGCAGCTCATCGAGTTCTCTTCGTGGGCCGTGCACGGCCCTCCCGGGGCTCCGGGACCGGTCTGTGTCTTGGCTTCATGGGATCAAGCAAAGCGTGCCGGTGTCATACCTGTTGCAAACGCCGGTGCAGTGTGGCCACATTCAGTACTCGTTTTGTGCATCGCAAGTTTGGCTTTGCAAGAGGTCCGGTGTGCGGCTGCCAGTCCATGGCATTGCTGCACTGTCCCTGCGGATATGCGGCTTGCTCGTCTTGCTGGAACGGCTTCGTGCAGCAGCAGCTGGCTTCTTGGAAGCCCTAGTAACCACCAGACCTTCACAACTGTGGTGTCCTCAAGATAGCAGTGCTTCTTGGAAGCCCTAGTAACCACCAGACCTTCACAACTGTGGTGTCCTCAAGATAGCGGTGAACTCGAGCGAAGACAAGCCTTGGCACACCCGGAATGCCCATGCGTGCATGCCTCCACTCTGCGTCTCTCAGCCCTTGAGTGTCCATCATGCATCAACACACGCTGCATCCGAACCCTTCTGCCGGTGCACAAAAACCTAGCACCACCTTGACCGAATGCACCTTAAGTACGTAATTATCTTAAAGGGTGGAAGCCGTTGAAGCAGGGGGTCATCAAGACTTCAGGCCCCCCTTTTGTTTTAAATGCGCATCTCAAAGTCGAGTCAGGTCTGGTGCCAGGAGAACTTCGCCCTAGGCCCCGTGGGATGCCCCCGGCATCCGGGAGGCTGCACCCAGAGCCTCATCCTGGCAGTTCGGAGTCCTAAGGGGTTTCTAAGCGTACTGGAGGGCCGGGTATTCGGTGAGTTGAGGAGTGCAGGGATCTCGTCCGTCATTCTCATGGAGGGCCTTTCTTCTTGTCATCACTGTCTTTTCGAGTTTTGTGGTGCTTTGAGACAGCCTGACGGCACCGTTTGAACACTTTTGGGCCTCGGGCTGCTTGTCCGAAGAAACTCCGAGCACCCAAACCTTCTTAGTCCTGCGACCTTCACTTAGGGTTTTGGGGAAGAGGGGTTAGGAATATTTATAGGAGTTAGTAAGTACATATGCTTAGGGTTTAGACTGCTTGGCACTCTGATTTATGTGTTGATGCTTGTACCTGCTGGCCCTTAGTCCCCGGAGCCCTTGAGCCTTATCAATCTCCGACGCCGACACCTGCTCTAAGATAGTTGGTCTGACAAAACAGTCCTAGCATTTCTGGGATTCCTGGGGTTCCTTACTTCAGTTATGCGTTTATCGACCTCAAATCTCACCTCCTAAGTGACCTGTGACGTCCTCTGATTAAGGCCTCTACACTCGCTGGCTAAGACAGCAGCGCCGGAACCGAGAGCTTTTGGTTTAGGAGACCTCTTAGCTGTGATAGGGTGGGTTTAGGGTTTAGTTCAGGCCATAGGCTTTGGGGGCCGATGAATGTCCGGAGAGTCCGTGCAAAAAGAGTCCCTACAAAAGTGCTTTAAAGCCCTAGTACTGGAATACCGAATTTGAAAGCGAAAACTCCATTCAGGAGTCCAAAAGAAGGAAGTAGTTATTATGACACCAATATTCCTAGCAGGACCCATTGTTTTGGAAATAGCAACCGTGCCAGCGGCAGTGCAGATCCTACCCGAGGGATGTGTTCCCCGTGCTTCCCTCCGCCATCACGATCTTTGCAGAGCACAGGGACCACCTGAAGAAGGAACTGAGGCGGAGACGGGAGGGTTAGAGGCGGTGGACGGATGACACATGGGTTCAGACTGTCAGGGAGTCGTGCCAAAAAAGACGGATGACGCAAGCAAGTATCGGAGTCGGTTTCCATTCGTTCCTGCACATTGCATGGCAGATCTTGCGTTTCGAGGATGGAAACCATGCCGTATTCGACCTCCGAGGGTGCATTAGGCCAGGGAGAATGGAGAATGGAGGGGCCTGGTCCCAGGCAGGGATCAACGTGAGGTACCAAACGCTGAAAGTGTATCAAGGTTGCTCTATATGGGTGTTACGGTACAAGGGTGCTAAGGAGGTGCAGGAAGGGTACCGAGAGAATACTACGAGGGTTCTGTAACGCTTCTGAAAACCCAGCCGAACATAGCTTTCATTCCGCCGCTCGCAAGAGCCAGATGCCACGGTGATTTCTGGGCTTAGGGTCTTCAGGGCATTTATCAATCTCGCGGTTCGCGGGCCTGAGGGCTCAAAAGGAACCCCGAAGCAAAGAACCCAAAGACAAAAGCACAGCTAAACCCCAAACCAGAAAAGCGGGTTGTTAAACACCCCTCTTCTAAAACCACCTACCTGCACAAGCCCCAAATCAGGAAGTCAATGTCCGCAGGCGCCTGGAGGCCGTCGCCGTGCCGCGTGACTTGACTGGGCCTGGACCCACGTGCCCCATCTGCGCCGAGGCAGCGGCAAAAAGGGAGGGTTTGGAAATGGGGGTTTTGGGGTTCAGGGGGTTTAGGGCTTTAGGGTTTAAGATTTTGTTTCTTGTTCTGTGGGCCCCATGCCTGAAACTCTATACACCTTGACTTAACACCCAAACACATAACATGCCGTAAGCCCAACAAACCTGCACCCTTGTTGACCTAAACCCCAACGCCTATGTACCCTGCACCCCATATCCATACAATCCTACACCCCGAACCCTGACCTACAGCCTAAACCTAAACCTCAAAGCCCTGCAAAAGAAAAACGGTCTAAACCGCTTCGCAGTCTTTATAGCGCTCTGCCAAACCAAATAATCTTCGGAGGTGTTAGAATCCGTACCAACAATGTACAACAAAACCTTAACCTTAAACCCCCCATGTTGTGAGCCCATATATACAACAAGGGCTTAACCTTACCGCCCCCCCCCCCCCGGNNCCCCCCCCCCCCCCCCGGGCACCCCGGCACCCCATGTTGTAGATCATCGAGCGCTTCAGGCATCGCTCTGCCTGCTGCGGCCCTGCTGCGTGGAGCATGTGGCCTGCGAGGTCTGCTGGGCCAACTGGGCAGAGGAGAGGAGCTTTAAAAGCAGGCCTCAGGCTTGGAACGGCTACTTCTGGCGAGAGTATTATTGTAGGATTTGTTTTCATAGATCATAGTATGTCGTAGTATGAGTATGACATCTCGGGCTACTGGAAAGGGCAGTTTCAGGGGCAGTCTAAGGGTAGTATGAAGGTAGTGTGAGAGGTATGAAAAGGGCGTTACGGTGGTGCTATAGACAAGTTTCGAAGAGCCTATACTTTATAAACCCTATAAACCCTAAACCCTAAAGCCGGGTTCGTGGGGTTTTAGGGTTTGGAGATGGAGGTTCTTGTGGTTTATAGGGCTTGGGCGCTGCAGGGCCAGCGACCAGTGCCTTTCGGGCATCGGCTTTTGTGGCATGAGGTTTACCCCAAAACGCTAGTCTTTTGATTAAGGCCCCTACGGTACATCTAGAACATTAGGGCCCGTGGCTTTAAGGCCCCTTTGGGGTTCAGGGTTCAGGCGACGAGGTCCAGGGTAAAGGGTTGCAGGGCCGTTGGCTTTGGGGTTTAGCCTCTGAAGCTGGAAGTTGATGGTCGTCATTTGGGACCTGGTAAGCTGTGAAGAACTACCAGGAGGATAACTAGAGTTAAAATTTGCTACGCTATGATTTTCAGATCTTGCCCCATGCATTAACTCCAAAATTCGGAATACTGCAGTGACTATCCTGGCGTTCATCTTTTCCTGTCCCCCACTGACCAAAGCCTTGTGACTTCAAGTATGGTAGACCCCAACACCCTGGAGGTGTTGGGGTTTCATATCCCAAACCCAGAGCCCTATCCCGAAACCATAGCCGTTCACTGTGAGGCCACCAGATGCGGTTCTCAAAATCAGTGGCTCTCTGCAGGAATTAACCTTTAAAGGTTCCCCACACTTTTCCGTAGTTAACCCTAAATCCTACACCCTAAACTCCTATAATTCCTAGACCCTAAACTCTGATCTACCCTATATGGGCCCTAGAATTCCTAGACCCTAGTACAGTAATCCAGGAGCAAATCGATATGTGCCGTCTTGGACGCCACCTGCCAGCACGCTGCCTTTGGCCAAGCTGCTCCTTGGCCTCAGGGTGATGCTCATTACAGTAAGGGCCCAATTGAAACACGGAGCCCTAAGCCCTAAACTCGGGGCTCATTATAGTAAGGGTCCTTGCAAGCCCGATCCCATCACGTAGGGCTTTACAAGAGTCAGCGCGCATGCATGCATGCATGCATGCATGCATGCATGCATGTGTGTATGTAATGTAATGCAATGTAATGTAATTATAAGGTAAGATAAGGCAAGGTAGGTAGGTATGTGGGTATGTGCATGTATGTGTGTATATGTGTATGTGTACGTGCATGTACGTGTGTATATGCATGTGTATGCGTATTTATGTGTCTATGTCTATGTATATAAGTATATGTGTATATGTAAATGTATATGTATATGTAATGTGTATTTATGTATGTGCGTCTGTCTGTCTGTCTGTCTGTCTGTCTGTCTGTCTGTCTGTATGTATGTATGTATGTATGTATGTATGTGCGTATGTATGTTGGTATTTATGTTTGCATGTACATATATTTGCTGCAGATGACTGCAGGAGAACTTAGGGAAGCCGGGATTAGCCGAGCATGCTGTTGGTAAATTTGCTCAGAATGCCCGGTGCCAGATAGACTTGGAATCCTCCACCCAACTGCCGAACCCTACGATTCGTGTTTGGGGTTTAGGGTCCGGGGCTCAGACTCAGTCGGCCCCAAGAGGATGTAAAGACGACCTTTCGAGAAGCCCAGGTGCTGCCGACTTGGCGGAGTCGGGTATGCGGCCGGGGCACACATATAACATCTTTCATTTGTTCCAAAGACTATGGCATTATTAAATTATGCTGCTTTAGTGAGGCTACTCGGTGGTTGGTTTGCTCTTTTTTGGGGTGGTTTGCGTCATCGTGACAATGGCTTGTCACTATCAATCTCCGACCTCGTAGAGTCTAGAGTTGAAGGCCGAAGTGCTATACGTATTATCACGTCAAAAAGTACTGTAGCATCTATAGGATCTATATATAGGTGAAGTGTGGGAGCTAAGTGGGCAGACAGTGACAGGTGTTGAGCGGAGGGTTCCGGATTCCTTGCTGAGGGTGCGTAGTGAAGTTGAGTTACGTTTTCCTGTGGTTTAAAGCGCCCCGAGAGACCCACCAAGAACTGCCGGAGAACCGTGCAGTGAATCAACCTTGTAGATAAGCCTTGCCCGTAGATCCGACGGAAGGCCAGAGTTATGTGTTTTGTACCTGCTTGAGGGACTCGCAACCACAACTTGAATCCTCAAGGCACCATATGTAGTAAGACATTATGATACCGCGCCTTCGCCCTTCCAAGCTGCGCAAAATCATGCCGCCAATCCTTATCATCTTCGTGATGTTGAGGTGTTGCAAACTTGTGTTCAACCCCAAAGGACACTGCCCCGACGGTATTGGAGGCAGCGCGACCTTCGAAACCCAAGCAGACCCTAAGACATAAAGCCATTTGCGCCTTGAAACTCCTCCCAAATCCCGAGCCCAACCCTGCAGGCCCTTAAGCAACACTTGAAACCACACCTCCAAAGCAAAAAAACAACCAGGAAACCCAGCGCAGAGCCGAGGTGGCGCCGGGTGAAGGGAGCCTCTGCGGAGGCTCCGAGGCTTCCTTCGCTTCTTGCGGATCTCGACCGCCGACAGCGCCTGCAGCGGAGCTACCTCTATCCACCCGCTGTTCAGGTCCCCCACATGATTGCATAAGAGTGCCCTGCAAAGGTAGAATCTCGGCTCAGAGGGACTTTTAGGATTCAGAAAAGGGTTCTCCGATCTCAGGGGCTTTTGTGGCTTGCAGGGCTCAGGTCTCAGGGCGCGTTTAGGGCTTCATGTTCTTCCGTGATTTTTTGTTGTTGTGGCCATGTGGGGCTGATGTCCTCCGTTGGTCCCATGGCCCCAAGGCGTATGAGAGTTGCAGGAATCGCTTGCCGCAGTCATGCTTGGCAGTGTTTCTATGTAGACCCTATATAAACAAAGGCCCGGGCCTTGCACAGCACTTATTAGCTCCTGCGGGGCAGTTGGAGTTTGGGAGAAGTCGTCTGGGAGTTGGTCTCGGATGCATTCGGGGTCTAATGAGCTTCGTGAAACACTGCTGTCCGGGACAAGCTGCGACTTTCTCCGAAATACTCCTCTGACATAGTAGGAGTGTTTGAAGAATCCCTGGCACCTCCATTCCTTACAGGGTGAGAGGTTGTATGGAACATCGGAGGTCGACTGCCCGCAGCCCGGCTGCGTGGGCTTGGGCTACCTGGGCTTCGACATGGTGATGTGCTTCATCTGCGAGCACCAGTGGGACGCCACCGAGGGCATCCTGGGGGAGGAGACGGAGCTGCCCGACGGAGAGGAGGCGGGGCGGCCGCGCTCTGTACTGCATTCTGCGAGATGCCTCTCCCCCCTAAAAGTGGCTCCAAATCATCGCTACGTCAATGTGTCATGGCGTTGGCCGCAGGTGGCGGAAGTCTCCGTCGCCGGAGTTCGGGTCAAGAGGTGCCCAAGCTGCCACGAGTACATCGAGACTGGGCCTGTAAGGGATCCATCATGATCCTATATCCCACGAAGCTGAATAATAGGGAAAAGGCTATAGGGTACCCTTTCTCACTAAGCGCCTATCTGGGGAACCTAGGAGAAGAACGGTGGTTGCGACCACATGACCTGCCGCTGCCGCCACGAGTTCTCATGGGCCACGCTGAAGCCCTGGAAACCGGGCCGCTGATAATGATAAGAAAAACCAAAGCCCCAAGCCCTCTTATATCGATTTTGGCTGACAGCCGCAGGGCTGCCAGGGGACCAACCCAGGGAAACCCCAGCTCTATTTGGTTACACTTACTAGTCACTAGTCGAGTCCCTAAACCCTAAACCCAAATGTCCTCAATATGTCGAACCCCTGGGAAGGCCCCTTGGCCCTTCAAGCCGACCCTCTTGACCCTCAACCGGGGGCATGTTCTTTGCCCTTGACCTGTACAGGCCTAAGACTTAAAGAGGCATGGTCGAGAGTTGAGGGCTTTTTGGGAGGAGTTGGAGCACTCCTTATAGGACGTGTACAGGCAAAGTGGGTGATCGAGCCCCAAAAAGGACCGTTCGCGCGTCTTAAGACCGTGGGCTTCTTTGCATCTTGACAGCTGCTTGAAGTTCACGAAAGTCTTCTTGCAAGGTGAGGTTCGTTTGTTCATGTCCACTTTTTTTTTAGACGGCCACTGCCCCGAAAACATCTCTCAGTCTCTGAGTTGCCGATGGACGCAGGAGTGTCCCCTGCGACAGAAATCTCGCGCGCATGTTCAACTCCTCAGATCGAGTGTATACTTCGTGATCTGCAATTCATTAGACTCCTCATGCTGTTGCCGTCCGTATCGATCCTTGGGGCTTGCGCACGCACGTGTTGCTTCAACTTGCAGTATGTTGCGCCCCTCAACTCCTGTATGTTTGCATGAAGCTTTCTGCGTTTTTTTTGCAAACTGCTCGGAAGCCAATGTGATCTTTCAGGAAGCCATGTTACGCCGGTTGAAAGCTTGGCTAAAGCGGGCTAAAGCTTGTAGATACGTGGGTTTGCAGAAGGCAAGGCAAGCAATCCAGAGCCCGTCTTCGTAAGTATCATCTCTTCTAGCAGGTGGACGACATGTCGTACCATAAGTACTATGCAAGCGTGTCGGACATCAGTTCTTGTGCATGCTATGCTTGGTCCCCCTAATTACCAAGTTTTCGAGTTCCGGTTGGCAGAGCTGTGCCAGCACAACCTGCGCCAGAGCCATGGCAGCTTGCTGTGCTGAAAATGGCCTCGCGCGATTTCAAGAGTTGGCCAAGGCCGAAACGAATCCTTCTAACGGAAGCTTCAACTCAATGTTGCTTGCATATGTCTACGACGTTTTTAGAAAATCATCGTGGAGTCGCAATTGTTCAGGTTTTCGGGATTTGGTCAGTGCACGTTGATTACTCTCGTGCTTGGACTTCGGGACTTTGTCCATGCCGTGCAGCTGGCAACTGGTTTTCCAGCGATGCATGCACCAGGCACACTACTCACGTATTCCCCCGTCAAACGGGCACAGCGATAGAAAGCCTGGCAGTGCGGAGTTATTCTTTCAAGTTTCGGGCTGCCACCTTTGACGCAGGTAAACCACGTCCAGCTTCCAGACGACATGGATCTGCTTCTCTCTTTTCTTGCGGCAATGGGCCCGGAAGAGGCCCTCGTGCACTTCGTGGACTCGGGCGGAGGTGGGACAAGGGCTCCTTGAGTTCGGGCAGCTGTGGAGTTTCACGGCTGCAGTGGACTTTCTGCATGTATTGCAGTAGAGTAATAATGTCAGACTGTAGAATATCTGTGTCTCTGTCTATATCTATATCTATAAAGATCTGCATCTGTAGCTGTAATTATCGATAACTATACCTTCATCTATGTCTTTATCAAATATATGATATCTATTTCTAGCTCTATCTTTATATCTATATCTATATATCTATATAGCCCTATATCTCCATATCTCTATATCTCTATATTTGTATATCTGTATATCCTTATCTCTATATGTCTATATCTCTATATACATCTGTATCTATGTCTACATCTATCTGTATCTTTATCTGCATCTAGTATGATATACAAGATATCAGATGTCATATATATATATATTTTTATTTATTTATGCATTTATGACATTATGTTGTCATGTAATTAATATCCTACGTTCTAGCGCAATACAGCACAACAACAGATACCATCATGTCATATATGACAAGATGTGCACAAGGATAATATAATGGAAGATCATATAATATATTATAATGCCTCATAATATACGACAGTATAAGACAAAATAAGATGGTATACAATATTACACAATGACACGATATAATACGATATATTGTGGCATAGTATAGTCTAACAGAATAATAGACTTATATAGAATATAGTATTGTAATACAATACAACATTGGTACAATGGCAAATTTTAGTGGAATAGAAAAAGCATAGAACAGACTAGGCGAAACAAGACTAGACTAGAACAGACTAGTTTAGAATACAATAGACCAGGAAAAGTGTTGATGTGCTGATATTCGCCGCAATAAGCTTCGTAAGATGTGCCAGTGGTCCGTTTCCCGGCAGGGATGTTGGCTATGACCCTGTCATGTTCGTTTCACCATGCACCGACCCTTACAGTAAATGGTAAGAGCTGAAACGTCAGGGTGACACACTGAGTTCCCGGCGTGTCCCAAGTTATTAGAAGCACCCGGTCGACTGCGGACGCTGTGCGCTCTGTGCCATACAAATCATTTTGACCATGCCCTGGCCCTGGCTGCGGCATCTGCTGCTTTGATGACGCTGCTTGTTGCTGCTGCTACTACCCATATTCGCACTACACAGTGGGACGGATGTTCTGATGTTTTCGCGAGGAGGTCCGGATGTCGCGGATGTTCCGCTGGCAACGGCAATGTCCAGCAGTGTCGCGAGTTCGGCCAAAAGCCTCGCGATGCCACAGGCAGGGTTTGGACTTAAATAGAGGAACGAGTGAATAGCAGGGAGACGCAGTTCGGTGATCCCAGCAGACCGTCAACAGGATCGGGTTTTAACTTTTGCTGAATGCAATCTGAAGACAAATCCCGAATCCAAGACCCCCATGTTGAGCAGGCTGATAGAGAGCTGAACGGTCCCGAGCAAACTGCACTCGACGATGCTATGATGTCCTCCAGCATGAGCGCGCAAGAAGAGCGACCAGGCTTTGTGTTGGATTTTCTGCTGCCTGCTTGTAGGAGGCCCATGGCACCCCAGGGATTAATTGCCGAGGAAAGTCAAGAAGTTTCATTCGGAGATGAGCAGCGCTGGGCTGTCGTCTGCAGCGGTGGTCATGCAGATCTCGACAGAGAGCCAAGAGCAGAGTATTTATTCCGGTCAATTATACGTGTTTCAATTCAGGCTGGAAACAGCTGGCCCGTTGTCCCTCGAGATTCGCAGCGATGGCCCCGAGTTGAAAGTCCAGCCTTCTTCTATCAGTTTCGATGTTTCCGAGGATGTGCCGGTGTACGTGTCGATCTCGGTGTATGCAGCCTCCCGAGAAGTCTCAGGAGTGCGGACCGTGACGCTGCAAGGAGGTGAGTGGAAGCGGACTCTTCGGGTGCGGTTTCAAGAACTGCCAGGTGTGGCGCAGCTTCTGTTGCATGACGAACTCCAAGGGCCAGCTGGGCCGTGGCCCTTGTTGCGGTGGAGCGACAGCGGTGCACCGCAACTTGTAGAGTCAACACTCTGCAAGTTAGAAGAGCTACCGCCCCGGCCGGTCGCGGTCATCTCGGTTGTTGGGGCATACCGACAAGGAAAATCACACTTGTTGAACCACCTGGCAAACGTTGTGGGTATTGGCTTTGACCTCGGCCATACGACACAAGGCCACACGGAAGGCTTTGATTGCATCTTGATGCGCCACTGGGAGAAGGATGAGTACGTCTTGATTCTCGACACGGAAGGCACAGAGGATGTGGCAAAAAATGAGAAGCGAAGCACAGACATTCTGGTTCTGGCATGGCTGCTCTCCTCCACGGTGGTATACAACACCCTGCATGTCCCACAAAGGCAGAGTCGCGTCGATAAAGCAGATGAGTTTCGATCTTCATGACTCTCTGTTTGTTGAGAACTTCCAATCTCGAATCTCACTGCGAAATAGGTACAGTAAGGAAAGCCAAACCAGAATAAGCAGAAGCTAAGTCGAGCATTGCATGTGAAATGCCGGTAGGGCAGTTACTGGCAGGCAGCACTATGCCGAATGGTGGCAACCCCAAGCCCGAAAGCCCGAGGAGTGCAGACATCCTCCAGGCTGCCACACTCCTGGCCCATCAGGCGTAGGGGGGGGGGGGGGGGGGGCCCAAAGAGCTCAACAGATTGGCACTTGGGTTTTGAAAAGATTGCTATTGCAGCCGAGGTTTTAAACTTTTGGGTCAGGTGGGTCTTTGAATCGGAGTCTTGTAGAGTGGTCTTTAGTGCTTGGCCCGGCAGGTGCAGAGTTCGATGCAGCGAGATGAGGAAGGCGAGCTCTTGGGTCTACGTTGGGTTTCATTGCAGGTGCACACCGTGAATTACCAAGAAAACCCAACCCCCCCTTAAGTTGCAGAAGATTCCGAAACGTACTAAATCGAAGAATCGGTGTATTGGGGTCTGCAGGGTTGCGGGGTCCTGGGTTGAGGAAGCTACCAGATCAAAGTTGGAAGTGCAAAGAATCCGCTTCTTGCGAGGTGAGACGGGGAGCTATCCATCCCTGACCTGGGTGGTTCGCGATTGGGCGCTTGAGCTACCCGATGGACAGGCCTGGATTCATTCCACCTCCTTGCAAATCCCAAATACGAATTTCCAATATCCAAGGCTAGTCTTGCACGCGAGGGTCCCTTACAAGAATAAGTTGATGACATTTCCATGATAAGTCAGAAGCCTCCAAGATGGCTGCTAAACCTCCTTAAACCCCAAACCTAAACTGTAGATGATAGAAAGATTCAAGTCCCTAAGCCCTATAGGCCGTGAACTTTGGGGTTTAGGGTGCTGTTTTAGGGGTTCGACTCAAGAGACTGGACTGTATGTGTGTGTGTGTGTATATATATATATATCAAACAGAGCAGAGCCTTAAGCAAGAAGCAAAGCCCCGAGAAAGCACCGATTAGAACAGATTCTGCAAAAAGGAGCCTTCAACCAGCAAGCAACAAATCCGCAAAAGAAACCCAAACCCCTAAACCCTAAACCCTAAACCCCTAAACCCCTAAACCCTAAACCCTCCGGCGAGGATCTCCAGAGCTACCTGGAGGGCCTCTTGCCTTCCCGGGGCATCTCCAGGAAGGCCAAGGAGGTCCGGAAGACCGCGGAGGAGAGCGTCGACCAGCTTGAGCAGCTGGGTTCTAGAACGGAGACTTTTGGGGTTTAGGGTTCAGGGTTTATAGGGTTTTGGGTTTACAGGGTTGAAGGTTTATACGGTTTAGGGTCTATGGGTTGAGGGTTTAGGGTAGTTCACGTAACACCATCTCTATATGGTCAGGAAGGCCATATATATAGCTAACTACATGTATTAGTCCAGCCAACAAACGAAGTAACAGAGCCCAAAACACAACCCAGGAAGCTTTTCCCGCGGCGCCAGATGCTCACTGTGATCCGTCCCGTCGCTGACGAGGTAGATCGACTCCAATGCCTTGGCATTAGAGGATATCTAGTATCTAGTATCTAGTATATAGCTTGGTAGGTTTAATATTATAATAAACATGTAAAAGTCGACTAGATTAGCTTGGCATTGGATTGTATCAATTTTGAATTGCATCATGTCATATTCTTGTATTGTTAGTTGAGGAACACTTGTCACTCCCAATGCTTGCGACCTCAATCACATACGGTTGATGATATAAATCCTGCATTACCCATAATAAGGAATCCCATAATGTCCATAGTCTAGGGTCCTCAAGGTAATGCAGGGTTTACAGCATCGACAGTAGTATAGGCTGTCTTTAGTGAAATTGATGTGGGGGATTTCTCTGGCGAGGCGGATCTGCAGCGCTTGGAGAGCCCAGAGGTGCAGCGCAGGGTCCGGCCGCAGTTCACGCGGCAAATCCGCGAGGCCGCTGGGGAGTCTAGGTGTTTACCGGGCTGCTAGGATTCATGCAGGTTTAGAGGTTTAGGGTTTAGTTTCAAGATATCTAGCCACGCAGGGCTTGTAAGACTATGACATTAAAATTGAATACAGGGCGATGGCCACTTCAGAGGAATAGCAGGGCTGCATGACGCCATTCGGGCTGACCTTTGTAGAGGGCTAGTAGGGCTTCACAGGGCCACGCTATGATCAATTGGGGGGGTAGAGTTACGGGCTTCTAGTTTTGGATCATGCTTCGCCAGAAACCTCTAACACCCACTTGCGAGTTTTTTCATCTGCGAGGCCTGCAATGCAATTCGCTCCCAAAGCCGTGCCAAGTGCATCGGAGGGACTACATTGCAAACGGGCGCAGTGACTCGGATCCCCCTTCAGCAGAATTGCCGACTTCCCGTTTCAGGAAAGTTGCCTTGAATGTATGTGAGAAGTAACCTAGCCTAACCTACTGTGCGATGTCGGGAAGGTGATGACGCAGTACATCAGGGAGGTGGTGCAGGAGTACATCAGGGAGGTGGTGCAGGCTGTCAGATCCGGTGAGAACGTCATCATTGAAAGTGCTTGGGCAAGAGTTCAAGAAGCTCTTGCAGAGAAGGGGCTGTCCGCCGCAAGCAAACTCTTTGACGACCTCCTTCGTGCTGGCTTGTCCAGTCTGAAAGCAGAGATTTTCCATGCGAAGGGGAGCCATCTAGTAGCCCAGTTCTGCAGCAGCAGCGATGGTGTGCCGCTGGAAGAGGAGGAGATGGAGCGTATCGTCGAAGAAGCTTCGGAGAAAGCACGGGCCAAACTGGCGGGGCTCGCGCACGGTTGCGAGCCAACTCGTCACCAGGGCGCGGCCGTGGCGCTGCAGCAGCATGCTATCCAAGAGCTCAAGCAGCTGAAGAGCGAGAATCGTGAGCTGTCAGAGGCGTACTGCAGCCTCGTGGCCCAGGAAGTTTGCACGCAGCTGCAATCCGAGGTTTCGAACTCAAGCGGTACAGATGTGGGACTGCAGGACTTGCTACAAATCGCCGTGGACGAGTACGGCTCCAGTGCCAGGGGGCCTGCAAAATGCCGGGTGGGCCACAGGCACATGGAGCGCATGAGTCGAGAAGCGGCTTACTGAGTTGGCATCCTGCTTTCAACTCCAGTGATTGCTCTTTGGATTCCTAGCCTGAGGTTCCTCCACACACTACATATAGGAACTGCAACAAATATACCGTATAATTGCACCCCACACATCCCCCCCCTTAAAGCCAAACCCCGAATCGCAGAAGAAGCTTCATTCCCGTGCCTAGGTGGGTCTTCGACAAGATGCTCGAGAGCAGTTGCGCATGCATCAGGAGGAGGCACAGCATCTGATGCTGCTGCAAGAGGCCCAGCATCTTCAGGACATGGAGAAGAAGGACCGGTGAAGCGACAAAGCCGAACCGTGTGTTGTGTTCGTTGCTTTGTGTTTCAACGTGCGTGCCAGGGAAGGTGTTCCGCATCATTCGATGCAAGAGGTATCTGTAGACCAGGCGGAAAGCTGATCATCTAGCTCAAGACGAGTACCGAGCAAGTGAAATTCAAGCTTCGTGTCATTCCTGTACCTGAAGCTTTTAAATCCGAGCCGAACGGCGAACAGCAATGTCTGATGCCCAAAGACCCCGAAGATTCGAATCTTCTGAATCTACAGGCCCAGATTCTTGACTTTGTCTGTCGGAACGGTATCTTTGCAGGACCTAGCCCAACGGGATGCGAATTGGCAGTTGCTGCAGGTGCCCGGCTTACAGCTAGCCGTGACCAGCTTCGAGCTTCGGTGTGAAGGGTATTGCGACATGAACAGTGGGGGGGGGGGTGTCGCTGGTGCCGTCTAAGCTTATTTTCTCCAGCCTTGCTGGTCAGCACTAGCTCTGATTTCCACGGTAAGCATGCGCCCTATACAAAACCTAAAGCGTCAGGGGGTAGTTGATGCATATGTTGTCAGTCTCACTGATCACGGCTTCACAATGCGTTGGTTTTTTAAATTCCCGCTCCCTTCTCTTCCCTCCTCCCCGCTTCCTACTGTACCCTTGAAACCGTACCCTAAACCACCCTAAACCCCAAACCCTAAACCCTATCAACCCTAAACCCTAAACCACCGTAAACCCCACACTCTAAACCCTAAACCACCCTAAACCCCAAAACCCTAGACCCTAAACCACCCTAAACCCCAAACCCTGTAACACACCCCCCCTAAAGCCCAGAAGCCCCGGCCAGGTCGAGGCACAGCTCCAGGAGGCCTCCGAAACATTGCAGCGCCTGGCTCAGGAGCTTCCAAGATCCCACATGGGTAGCTCTCTAAATTTAGGGCCCCCTCTTTGGGTCCCCTCAAAGGGATCTATAAGGCCTTTAATGATAACTACATGGGTAGCTCTCTACATTTAGGGTCCCTTTTTGGGTCCCCAATATAGTACGGCACCCTTATACAAAAAGGACCCTAAAGGGCCCACATTCCTGTGCTCCATTTAGGGGCCTTATTTTTTGCATAACAACCAGTACTTTGTTTTTTGAAGGGTGTCCTTATCGTAATTGAAGTAGAGAAAGTATTGCAAAAGTATACAGCAACACCCTATTCTGCTTGTTGAAATTAAAGGCCCCCCTATATTAAAAAAGATGGTCTTCGGTCTCGAGGTTCCTTTCTTGTTTGAACTCCTGTACTACCTAGTACACAGATGGGAGGGCTCCCCGGCTTGCTCCAGGGTTTCTTAGTGGTTCAAAGGGCATGGACCCGAGGAAGCCTGAACTCGAGTCAAAGAGAAGGGGAATGCTACCGGTTAGTACAGTTCCAAGCCTGCAGCCACGTTACGTTGCATTGGGGGATTTACCTGTGGGAAGTCTGTCGGTCGCCGCTTTATTGATCAGACCGACGGATATTCGATTCTTACGAAACCTCTACCTCCGCCCCTGTCCTAAAAAGGAGTCGGAAGCACAGCAACGGCGTTGGTCGAGGAGATTCGAGCAGCTCGCACAGGAGCCTGCGAAGCGATTTCAAGTCGACTAAGCATGGAAGAGCTTGGGAGTTTAAATGTCTCGTGGTTCCGAGAACCAGACGCAGGTTCAGGGAGCTTATATATAAATATATATATATATACACTCACACATATATATTTGTGTGTATATATATATAATGGTCAGTTTCGGGCTTTAGATTTTGGATTATCCGTTGCAGGACCAAGAGCAGAACCAGGGCGAGCTGAGACGGCAGCACGAGCAGCAACAGCGGGAGTTGGCCCGGCAGCAAGAGGACCCCCCCTTTTTTGGCGGCAAGACGAGACGACACTCTGAAGACTTGTGTGATTCCATGATCCTTATAAGCCCACTCTACTATAACAGATGCCCCCTTTATGTACTCCACGGCAGGCTTTGCAACTTGAGCTTCATGACTGGCGGGGTTCTGGTTCACAGCCGAGATCCCGAATCGTAACAGTGAGCTCTTCTCGCCAAAGCCGATAGCTTAAGGGGATGGAGGTTGCAGGGTAACCCGGTATTGATCTGTCAAGCCCTGCGAGGTGTCTTGTGCCTTGTGCCTCAAGGTCTAGTCGGAGCTTCATGCGATAGGGCTCGTCATACCGTATGAACCGTCTAAAACCTGGGTGAAAGCCCAAGCATCCCCAGGACATGCGCCGGCGCGTGGAGCGCTTGAAGCATGAGCAGAGAGCCAAGGAACGTCAGATCGAAGATCTTTCGGCTGAGGTTACACGCTTGGCTAATCGTCCTCCCGAAGTTATCCAGCGGAGGTCCAGTTGCTCAGTGATGTGACACTGTGACCTTGAAGGGATGCTCCGGTGCTAGTAGCACGGCCAAGTGGAGAGCAACTTTTGCCGAAACTTCGGCACGCAAGGCCTGTCCCTACCGCCTTGCTACCGTAATTTATCGCCCATGCAAGAGGACACTTGATGAGAGTGCTCCGAAATTCGATGGGACGAAGCCCCCAAATTTTCGGGTTCCCCAGAAGCCCTTCAACTGTGGGCAAGTCGAAATCTAAGTCGCAATGCCGGCCTGGGTAACCCTAAGCACCTGCCTCAGGGGGTTTGGCAGAAAGGTTCCTGAACTCAAGGAGAAATGGCTAAATCCGTTTATGCCTGCATCGTGCTGAAAGCTCGTGTCCTGTTCGCATGCAATGGACGATGCTGTCGGCTGAGCGGAGGATCAGCACTTGGATCGAGGTGTGGAGTGCTGCCTTCCGAAGTAATTCTGCGGCGGCATTTGGCTCTCATAGTGCATGAGTGCAGGATACTAGCACGATCACGAACGAAAGCAGGGCTTCTGCCAGGTTCTTACATGAGGTTCTGTCCATGGCATCTATCTGAATCTATCTTCCACCATGCCGTGACAGCTAAGGCAACATGACCTCACGAGCTTAAGAAGATCAACCCTGCCTCAACTCCCCCCGTGTCAAGCTTTCCGCTCCTTCCGCATTGCAAGGTCCGAAGCCGTGGTATTTGGGGGGTTTCTAGGGCTTGGGGTTTTGTATAGCCGCCACAAGCCACGGACAAAAACAACGACATAATTCAAAGACTAAACCAGGGTGGGGATGTTGCATTTTCCGCTCAGTAGCATCGCATCAGTATTGTGATTGTTCGTGGTGTTTACTAAGTTGCTACGTTCATGGTTGCAATGATTACCGCTATGATTCCTGCTATCATCGTCGTCATTATTTTTACCAGTCTAAATATGGGAATAACTATACGTTGTTTTATAGTTTTATTATAGTTATGGTTACATCATTGTCATTTTTAGGAGTAGTGATGGCGGTCGTTGCCGGTGTCGGTGGTGGTGGTGGTGATGGCGGTGGCGGTGGCGGTGGTGGTGGTGGTGGTGGTATCATATTAATTGTTTGGTTACTCTTAAGCTTCAATTATGTAGTCTTACAGGATGCAGATTAATTGGGTGCTTTGACATCCCGTAGCTACGGAGGTTTGGGTGGGCTTTTATCGAAATGTACAGGCAACTATGCGTAGGATTCACGGTAGCAGGATAACGGCCAAGTCCTGGAGTCGGGAACGAGTTGCGGCTTAGAGGGCCAAAGTTGTCAGGGTTTAAGTTTCAAGTGACTTCTGGAGGCTTTGGGCTTGGAGAAGGCGGATTATCAGACGACACTCTGCATCTCCAAAACTCGAAACCTGAGGCAGGAGCGACAGGAGGGTTTCAAAACGTAAAGGTTTGTGCAGCACGGGAGCGCCAAAACTGCGCCAGGGCTTGTCGAGATGGACGCCCGGCTACCACAGGCCTGTAGCAGAAGGGTCGTCAGAGTGAAATGCTAAAGCATCGGGGTGTGGTGTGATTTTGTCCCTGCTTTGTTGTTGCGGGGCTTGACGGGGGGCGTGGGGGTCGGCGGACCTTTGCTGGGTGTACGATGTCCATGAAGCACTTGGAGGTGGGTGTGCGTGCGTGTTGTGCCAGCGATTCTCCGCCGCAGCAGTTGTGGGAAGCGTGCTGTGATTCAGTGTGATCCGGCATGTCGGCCTGCAAGAGCGTGCCCTTGATCCGGCCGGTGATGGCGCCAGAGCCGCAGTTCGTCGTGGTGCAGGAAGGCATCGACTTCCTCCGTGGTTTGGAGGGCCCTCTGTACGTCGTGTCAGTGGTAGGTGCGATGCGGCAAGGAAAGAGTTTTGTCCTCGGCCTCCTGGCGGGTGGCCCCGGCATCTTTCGTTTAGGCCATCAAACGAAATCCTGCACGGAGGGGGTGGATGTCTTCGCTCGCCCTCATCCCTCCGGACGCGGGCACCTGGTATTCTTGGATGTGGAGGGCCAGGGATCAACCGATCGGAACGACACATACGATGCTGCTCTGACCACCGTCGCCATGCTGCTGTCGTCCATGGTGGTCTACAACTGCCTGTCAGTAGGGAAATCCGACGATGTGGACAAGCTGGAGCTCTTGAGCGGCTTCATGCAGAACATCTTCGATCGCACGTCTGAGGAGCACGGAGAACGCGAGGCAGCGGGCAGCGACAGGTTCTGTCCCGCATTGATGTGGCTGCTGCGCGACTTCTTCTTGGAGATGGTGGATGCAAACGGGAGGCCTTGCGATGCTGACACCTACCTGGAGGAGGTGCTCCTGGCACCGGTGTCCGGGGCGAGCAGAGTGGCCAAGGACAAGAACCGGAAGCTGAACGACATCAAGCAGGTCCTGCAGAAACGGTGCTTGCGCACCTTGCCCAGGTGCCCTGCAAGCGTCAGGTTTCGTTTTTTTTGGTCTTGCTGTAATTAGCGCAGTTCTTTATGAAATCGTGGTGACAGTTTGCGAAGCGATATCTCACAAGGCCTGTCGACGACGAGAACTTCAGGCAGCTCGAGATTGACGGCTTAGATGGTCCCGGGGTGCGGCCGGAGTTTCGTCAGCAAGTCACAGGAATCATCCAAGAAATCTTGGAGACGGTGCCGCGCAAGCGCTTCGATGGCGGGGAGCTCACCGGTGCTGCTTTGGCAGAGTTGGCAGGGCACCTCACGCTGACTCTCAAGGATGGCGTTCCGGAGGTCGCCTCTGCCTGGCACCAGGTGTGCCTGGCACAGACAAGGATGGCACTGCAAAGGGCTTCCGAGAGCTTCAAGCAGAGCCTTCGCATGGCCCAGGATTCAATCGAAGCGTCAGGCCGCCAGAAGCGGCACACGGCCTTGAAGCCCCCGATGTCTTCGCACGTCCTGAAGCAGACACTGCAGGATGCCACGGCGGCGGCTCGGAGCGCTTATTTTGCTACGGCCTTTCAGACGGATGAGGAGCAGGTAGCGGCCCCTTGCTGTGTGGTTTTGCTTCTGTCTTATGCACAGCGGTTGCTGTGTGGCATTCCCCCTATCCTGTTTACAGCACTTGCTGTGTGGTTTTACCTTTAGCCTATGTGCAGCGGTTGCTGTGTGGCATGACCCCTATCCTTTTGACAGCGCTTGCTTTGTGGTTGGGCACAGCGGTTGTTGTGTGGCATTGCCCCTATCCTGTTTACAGCGCTTGCTGCGTGGCTTGACTTCATCTAATGTACAGCGGTTGCTGTGTGGTTTTGCTTCCAACTTATGTGCAGCCGTAGCTGTGCAGCATTGCCCCTATCCTGTTTACAGCGCTTGCTGTGCGGAATTGCTTCTATCTTATGTACAGCGGCTGCTGTGTGGCATTGCTCCTGTCCTGTTGACAGCGCTTGCTGTGCGGAATTGCTTCTATCTTATGTACAGCCGTTGCTGTGTGGCTTTGCCCCTATCCTGTTTACAGCGCTTGCGTGTGGTTTTGTGTTTATCTTATCTGCAGCGGTTGCTTTGTGGCCTTGCCCCGGTAGAACACTTACTTATAACTTTCTCTTTCCTTAGATGTGACGTTTTCAATCTTTTTTTGTGAAATCACTTAGTTGTAACTTTCTCTGACTTTCTCTTGGCTCCGAACACAGCAAATCTCTGCAGAAGGTTGCAAAACAGGCATCTTAGTTGTAATTTGTTTGCTCTCAGATGTAACTTTGCACCTCTTTCACTCCGAAGGGTTTTCGCCTTCGGAAGTCACTCCTTAGTGTCTTCGTCTTGAGTATTCACTCCGTAGGGCTTTCGCCTATTTACTCCTTAGGGTTTTCGTCTTGGGTCAGAGTTTCCTGCTGGGAGTGTAAGGGGGCGTGATGGGTGGCAGGGCTGTCGTGGGGGCTTGCTGGGAGGGCCATCAGCCATGTCGAGCCTTCCTTTCATGGTTCGTTTTGGGGGGTGAAACAAGTGTGCTCGGGGATGAGATAGGGGACTGTGGGGTGTGCTGGGGCTTTTGGGGGTCAACGTTTTCTCGCCTTACTGTAGTTCGTCTGGATTGGCTTGTGACTAGTCCACCAGAGCCCTTGTTAAAACAGGACATGCAGCTCTGGAAGTGACAAGTGTGAGGGTAAGTGGGGCAGGTGGGGTCAGTAAGACAACGAACAAGTTACATCTTAGAGGAAAGAGTTGCAACTAACCCTGCTACCCATTGCCCCTATCTTGTGTTCAACGCTTGCTGTGTGGTTTTGCTTCTGTCTTATTAGCAGCGGTTGCTGTACCGGCATTGCCCCTATCCTGTTTACAGCGCTTGCTGGCATTGCCCCTGTCTTGTTTACAGCTCTTGCTGTTTGGTTTTGTGTCTATCTTTTGTAATTACTGCGGTTGGGTTTGCCACGATCCTGTTTACAGCGGTTGCTGTGTGGCTCTGCTTATATCCTATGTGAAGCGGTTGCTCTGTGGCTTTGCCCCTCTCCTGTTTACAGCGTTTGCTGTGTGGCGTTGCCCCTGTCCTGTTCACAGTGGTTGCTGCGCGGCGTTGCCCCTAACCTGTTGTCTATCTTATGTACAGCGGTTGCTGTGTTGCACCGCCCCTATCCTGTTTGCAGCGCTTGCTGTGTGGCTTTGCCCCTATCCTGTTTGCAGCGCTTTGGCTTCTATCTTATGTACAGCGGTTGCTGTGTGGCATTGCCCCTACATTGCTTACAGCGGTTGCTGTGTGGCTTTGCCCCTCTTCTGTTTACAACGCATGCTGTGTGGGATTGCTCTTGTTCTGTTTACAGATTTACAGCGCTTGCTGTGTGGATTTGCTTTGTCTTACGTGCAGCGGTTGCTGTGTAGCACATTGCCCCTATCCTGTTTACAGCGCTTGCTGTGCGGTTTTGCATAATTTATGTACAGCGGTTGCCGTGTGGCATATTGCCGCTATGCTGTTTACAGCGCTTGCTGTGCGGTTTTGCTTATAATTTATGTACAGCGGTTGCTGTGTGGCATTGCTCCTGTCCTGTTTACAGCGCTTGCTGTCTGGTTTTGCTTTGTAATTTATTTTCAGCGGTTGCTATGTGGCATTGCCCCGATCCTGTTTACAGCGCTTGCCGTGTGGTTCCGTTTCTATCTTGTGTACAGCGGTTGCTGTACCGGCATTGCCCCTATCCTGTTTACAGCGCTTGCCGTGTGGTTCCGTTTCTATCTTGTGTGCAGCGGTTGCTGTGTGGCATCGCCCCTATCCTGTTTACAGCGCTTGCCGTGTGGTTCCGTTTCTATCTTGTGTACAGCGGTTGCTGTGTGGCATTGCCCCTGTCCTGTTTACAGCGCTTGCTGTGTTGTTTTGTTTCTATCTTATGTACATCGGCTGCTGTGTGGAATTGCTGTCAGTTCTCCCGAGCCTAGCCAGTAGATTCGTTTAAGCTGTTCGCAGATCAAAACAGAATCGAACCGCTTCTAGACGGAGGGTTGCAACATGCAGCAGGCGCGGTGCCTCAATGACTCTTTGGCCCATGCCGCTGCAGAAGCGCACCGAGACAACGAAGAAGTCGCAAGATCCTTCTGCAGGGACCTCCTTCATGCCCTTTACGCACCGGTGGAAAGCAGTGTTGACGGCAAGCGCTACATTTGCGGAGGAGGCTATAGCCAGTACATGCAGGATGCTGAAGGAGTCCAGCATGAATATGCGGAATGCTGCCAGGACACACTTGTGCCGGAGCATGTTGTTACAGAGATTGGGGAGGTTCTGGCGCAGCACAGAAAACATTCGCAAGATTTTGCGAGACAGCGATAAGCAGCTCTCGGAAGCCGAGAAAGAAAAGGCAAAACAAGAGGAGCAGCTGATGCAGCTGGAGCTTCGCCGAAAGTTTCTTGGCTATTGTTGGCCTGCACTTAACAATTTGCTAGACCTGGCAGGTTCTGATGTGATGAACCCCGTACAACACCTCTCTGCCGCTTAGGCAGGAGTGGGAAGAGAACAAAGCGCAACTCCAGCGCCAAGAGGCCGAAAACCAAGAGCGCATGAGGACCTGGGAACAGGCCATGGGCAGCATGAGAGACCAGATGCGCGTCCAGCAGGAGCCTGCCCCGCAAACAGCAACAACGCTTCATTTCAGGGATTGTAGGGTTCTCTCAAATTCTCTGTCCGGGCAGTTTGTTGGCGGCAGTTTTTGTACTGTTGACACTGCAGGGCTCGATGTGTTTGCAGCTTGCAGGCTGCAGGAAAGCGATTTGCAGCGGATCTCCAATATGATACCATGCAAACCGTAAATCTAGAGAAATATTCTACAAACATTAACAACTGCAACCCTATGACCCCGAAGTCCTGGACTCTGAAACCCAGCCCAGAACCGGAACCCTTATCCATGGCGACAGGAGGACATGCAGAGGGCCAGCGAACAGCGTGAAGCCCAGTTGGCGGAGTTCATTCAGCAAGGCCCGTTGCATCCGGGATCTTGGGAGTTCAGGGGTTTCGGATTCGGTCGTTTTGGGCGTTATATGCGAGGCAAAGGCAAGGGTGTCCCTGAATGGATCAGTCCAGACTCTCCGACAAGGCCAAGTGGAAGCTCGGGAACAGATGCAGGACATCATGAGGATGGCCAGTGAGCAATCGATGGCTCAGCAAGAGCACATGAGCTCACTGCTCACGTCAATGCAGGATTCGCAGCGGACTCAGCAGGAGTCCATGAATGAAGTCATGATAAGTTTGAGGGATTTGGCCAACAGACCACCTCCGAAGATTGAAGTGCAACGATCCTGTGCAGTACAGTAAGCAGGATCTAGCGTTGCTTGGTGTGCTGCCGCTGTGCGCCGTGCGCTGTTGCCTTTTTCTGGTGTATGGGGGTCGTGCTCCAGACAGAAGGCGATGTCACAGGCGTGCTGCCTGGAAAGTCAGGCAAGGCACAAGATAGGTCAGGCCTTCGATACGATCGAGTAAATTTTTGAAGAGCTAAGGAACTTTACGTCGGAGAAGGCCCTTTATGATAACTTTCAACGTGGTGGTTGTTAAAAGCCATCCCGTGCAGAAAGCACTAGTTCCTGGTGCTGCAAGCGCGGCTTCAGAATCGCACCTTGTGCTGGCATTGAGATGAAAATCACTGGCTGGATTGAGACTTGTGTGAAGGACGCCTGTTAGAGGGATGCGGACTCGATCAGCACAAGCATATGTTTCCTGTGGCACTTAGACTTGCGCAGCTTCTCTGTTTGATGTTTATCTTCCCGCGTCTTCTGTTGAGGTTGCAACAGCAACGGAGCATTTTCGTTTGTTTGCAGGCTTCTCCGCCGACTCAGCTCCATGCAGGCGCGAGAGCGTTGTCTGCGCACCGGAAAAGGTCCACTGTCCAAGTCGTGCACCTGCGGTCCGGCCGATTTGTGCGATGTCCTGAAGCACTTGGAGGTGGGTGTGCGTGCGTGTTGTGCCAGCGATTCTCCGCCGCAGCAGTTGTGGGAAGCGTGCTGTGATTCAGTGTGATCCGGCATGTCGGCCTGCAAGAGCGTGCCTTTGATCCGGCCGGTGAAGGCGCCAGAGCCGCAGTTCGTCGTGGTGCAGGAAGGCATCGACTTCCTCCGTGGCTTGGAGGGCCCTCTGTACGTCGTGTCAGTGGTAGGCGCGGTGCGGCAAGGAAAGAGCTTTATCCTCGGCCTCCTGGCGGGTGGCCCCGGCATCTTTCGTTTAGGCCATCAAACGAGATCCTGCACGGAGGGGGTGGATGTCTTCGCTCGCCCTCATCCCTCCGGACGCGGGCACCTGGTATTCTTGGATGTGGAGGGCCAGGGATCAACAGATCGGAACAACACATACGATGCTGCTCTGACCACCGTCGCCATGCTGCTGTCGTCCTTGGTGGTCTACAACTGCCTGTCAGTAGGGACATCCGCAGATGTGGACAAGCTGGAGCTCTTGAGCGGCTTCATGCAGAACATCTTCGATCGCACGTCTGAGGAGCACGGAGAACGCGAGGCGGCGGGCAGCGACAGGTTCTGTCCCGCATTGATGTGGCTGCTGCGCGACTTCTTCTTGGAGATGGTGGATGCAAACGGGAGGCCTTGCGATGCTGACACCTACCTGGAGGAGGTGCTCCTGGCACCGGTGTCCGGGGCGAGCAGACTGAACAAGGACAAGAACCGGAAGCTGAACGACATCAAGCAGCTCCTGCAGAAACGGTGCTTGCGCACCTTGCCCAGGTGCCCTGCGAGCGTCAGGTTTTTCAGAGCTTAGAGATTGCGGTTGAGTGCCCAGGGCCACCCACAACCCCTCTCCCAGATTTGTGCATGTTTTTGCTCACCTCCGGGTCCTAATATAGACTTGTCAATTGTCGTTTCAAGCGGATGTTGGGAGCTTCCTGTGGCACAGCAAAGCCTTGGCTGGTCTTAGTTGCTTCTTATTCCGAGAAGAAAATTCGTTTCAAAGTTAATCGAATTCTCCGCGCGCTTACCGTCCTGATGAGGTTTGAATAGACATTGTGGGCCGTTCATCGGTGTTGGCACCTTCCAGCCATCAGAAAGCGTGGTGAGTCATCGTGTTTCGTCCTTGAGTTGCTGGGTGTCTTCTTGACCTTGTTTCGTCAAGCCGCTGGCAGGCCCATTGCTGGTGATGACTTTCGAGATCTACAAGAGTGCGGGCTTCAATCACCACCGTTGCTTCCGGAGTTTGTGCAGAAAGCAGAGAAGCTTCTGAGCGAAGTGAATAACCTGCCAATACCCAAGTGACTTGGCTGCCACAGTTTTCAGCAAATTCCACTGTCTAGACCGGTGTGGTCCTAGTCCGTCAGTCAGAAGCATTGTCACAATTGTCTCCATGTCCACATGTCTCAATTGTGATCCGAGATGTTGCTGCACCAAGCCTGCGTGCTTGCGGCTGAGGCAGCATAACGGCAGGTGTGTTTCTGGAGCGATGCTAGCAGCACTCACGGAAGAGCTCGTGTCCTCTGAGCTGCTGACGTCTTGGCAGCAAGTATGCAAACAGGAGACACTCCGCGCATTCCGACAGGCTATCATGGCGTACGATGCTGAGTGGAGCACCGGGCCACTCCCTATCGATGATGCTTCGGAGAGTCACAAGAAGGCTTTGGGCAAGAGCTTGCAGGCCAGGTCTGCTCAAAAGCTTGGCATAGAGATGATAGTTAAGGGTCCTGCGAAGGATTACGGATCCGACTATGAAGCCTGAGGGTCTGTCTTGGGATCTCCCAAGTATTTGTTGGTTGGTTGGAATTCCCAGGTCTACCGCTCGATTGTTCTTGGCTCCGGTTGCATCGACGAGCTCATGCAGGAGCTTGACCGGAAGCTTGAAAGCTGGCTGGCGGCGAACGACGCTGCCGCAGAGGCGCTTTGCAGCCGCTGCCTGAAGGAACAGCTGCGCACGGCCACGCAAGCCCAAGAAGCAGGGGACTCTGGGCTCTGACACCATTGGGTTTAGGGTTTAGGGTTTTGAGTGTCCAGCCCATATAGGTGCATTTAATCGAAATCCGCACCTGCACATCGACTAGAGACCAAATGCCTTGCCAGTCACCAGGCATCCCAGCCACCACAACAACAACAACAACGCTCCATCATCGCGTAAACGCGCGCAAGCGAGAGGGCGATTTCATCGGTATTTTCGGTG